ATTTGCAATCTATAGCAATACTAACAGGAAAAAACACCCGTGGGGGAAAAAAAAAAATAATAGAAAGCATACACTACATCTCAGCTTGTGGAAAAGCGCGTGGAATCACCAAATCTACACTGTAAATTGACCGCACAAGAAAGCTGGAAATGGCTATTTAATAAAAACATGAGAGGCAAAACGGATCAGCCTATAGAACTGACTGCCATTCCAAGTCCCACTTCAATCAATCTGCATTAAACCAAGTGTAGCACTGGGGACCTCGACATGCCCCTCAGAGCAGTGCTTCCAGAGCAGCCAGTGGGAGGATGCAGGGGGGCACTGGGGCTGTGCTGTTCAGGAGCAGGTGCTGAATGGCAGTGGGGCTGGTGAACAGGTCACAGCTGACAGCATGGTAGCTAAGCAAATTAGGATACAGATCTAGCATTCTCTAAGTATGAAGTGACTGGCTAAACTACCATGAATTTATGCATTTATAACAGCAACTTTATGAGACATTTGCAGTGCATCATACTGGGCTCTGACAGGACTTCTGAGATGGGTCTGTGTTGCCCACAGAGGGGTGGCCAGTACTATTTTGGGACAAGCTGAAACACTTGATGGCACTAGCATGGTCAAACTGTACTGGCACGTCAGTGTCGTAAAATCAAGACAGCCCTTCGGAGAGTTTCATCGGAGGTGATATTCAGATTGACTACAGCCCATTTTCACAGCACTTCTGTGCTGTGAACAGCTTGGAGAAGGGGTGGTTATTTTCTGTAAAGCACACTGTGATGCACCCATGCAGAGCACACTTTCTGTAACCAAATATAAATGGGCTACCTGCAAGGACTTCTTTCCAACACTCCCTCAATATAGTACTTTGTATTTATGTGGCTAGAATTTCATTTCAAGTCTTGTAGATTTGAGATTATAACATTTAAGGAGTTATACTCCCAAATCAAGTGTACAAAAAATAAACCAACCCCCCCTACAGGTAAGCGTTAACACGACCTTTTTAAAAGTGTTGATTACCTGGAATTCAAAGTATAATTCAGCCAAATATACAAACACACATATATATACACACAACACAAACACACTTACAGCAGTATTAGAAGTTTTGTTACAGTCTTTCTCAGAAAGAGAGAAGCCAAAGAAAACTTCCTTATTTCTCACTTTTTTTTCACCACTAAGAGAAAGCTTAACCTGTGCAGCTGCACAGACTACTGTACACAGTCTTCACACATCTATCTCTTCTACTTGCAAGAGCTGCACAGTAGTTATTTTTCAAGTATTAATTTTCCAATTCATTATTTCTTTGCCCATTGTAAAATTAAAGAGATGCATCAAATTTAATAAGAACAGGATATGATTGCATCTCCTGTAGAGCATGACAGAGTAGTGCCTTCAAGTTTCCAGTGAACCCTTAAGAGAGAAGTTTGGCATCAGCCCAGAGTTCTGCTCAAGAAATCCCTCCCCTTCGCTGCCCCGGTTCTCCACTCCCCCATTGTACTGATACAGCTGCTGATGAAAACACGTTGCACAGCAGAACCCCACCAACAACTGAACCAGCACAACTGAACAGTGGGAGCCATGATGTGTAGTTGTTAATTTTTTCATCCTGTGTCTCCTCAAACTGCAGACCAAGCATATAGAGAAGAGACCTCCTCTAGAACCATCTAGTATTGCCTTATCCTCAGATTGAGACAGACATTTCTGGCTGACCTTCCCAATGCCCTTTTAATGGTCACAAAGCCCAGCTCAAGCTGCTTTCTTGCCTCTGGTCTCCAGTAGAGATGGCCACTGCACATGTAACTTAAAAATGTTTGTCAGCAGTTAAGCACCTGTGAGGGGGCCCTTTCACACAGTTGTTCTACTGCAAACACCCAAAATGGCATACAAATGTTTGGAGGTTAAAAAAAAACCAAACCAACAACAACAACAAAAGACCAACCACAAAACAAAAACCAAAAACCACAGAAATCAAAATAAAAAACCCAAACCCATCATTCTTTTACATGCGTCTGGAAAAAAAATCACATCAGGTTACAGTTCATTCAGTCATTCAATCCAATGCTTCACAACGGATCAAGACCATCACATAATGGACCACCACTGTATTGCCACTACATAAACACCCCATCTGTTTAGCAATCATAATGTGCAAAATTAACATAAATAGGGAATGGAACATAACACTAGCAGACCAAAAGCATAAAAGACATGATAGGCCTATAATTTTTTTGCATAAAGGATGCTACATGCAAATTTTTAGTGGAGATAAGAGAAAAAAAGGCAAATGTAACACAAAGTATGTTAAAGAATCAGCAGTGGAGTGAAGTTGCCAGCACTATTCCAACAAAGCTTTCTTCTGCAGATCTATACAAACGTTCCACCACCCCAACCGTATCAGTTTCATAGGAGCTCTTCTTGTGAAAGCAACCAGAAAGTCCATCCTTTTTTAGACAGATGTCCAGAATAGCCCAGAAATAAGGTAATTCCCCACTGGCACAGAAGAGCCAAATTTAAACCCCTAATCTAAGATCATGTAAACTGGAAACCTATGCAAGGTTCTAATGGCAGAATCAGAGAGTTGGTCTCTGACTCTGTCCACAGACAGACTGCACTTAATGCACACAGAACATCCTGCAGGCAACAGAACAAGAAGCTCAAACCCAGATGACTTTCACACAGGCTCCTATAGATGGAAGTTGCTAAAATGCTAGTGCTTTTGAAGTAAACTGCCAGATTTAAAAGTGGGGGGGAAAAAATACTTTAATAATATATGATTTCTGTTCCGGCAAAACACTAAACAAGTTTAGAGCTTCCGAAGTGCCCAAGTGCTGCTGGACCTGAGGGATGTGGCTGCAGGAAGCTGTGCAGCAACGGTGACACCTCGTGGTGCCAAACCTCTGAAACACAGACCTCTTCCCAAACACAACCTACCTTAAACCCATCAACGGGGTTCAGAGGAAGAAGTTTTACAAACAAGATAGCTGAACAACCTCTACGTCATTCTCCTCCTAAACCAGTATCTCCCATAGAGGCAGGAGCTAGAAACTTGAAATCAAATCACTGCCTCTATTTTCATACCTCCTGTCTTTCACTGACCTGTCTTTAAAAGGGTTTTCCCATTCCCTGTTTCGTGGTATTGACAACTGTAGGTGGGAAATAGTAGAACTGACTATGTATGATGTTTAACACAAAACTGCATGATGACTAGAGGAAGGAAAAGAAACCAGCCCAGCTTTAACACCTTTTGGTCAAAATGACTACAAAGAAATTACTGTAAGCAAAAAAACTTCAGAGAAGCAAGTTTTCAAGTGCCAGTTACATAAAAATTAGCATTGTTTTTAATTAATTCCATTCAAACATATAAAAATCTACTTTCCTTCATTCTGATATCTCCCATCCCTGACAGATGCTCAAATGCATTACTTTCTGCAACTTCACAAACAGAAATCTCAGATTATATATCTCACTGCACTGCATGTATTTAAGAAGTCCGTTTGCCTTCCCACTGGAGAGGTTCGTGTGAAGTTCTTTCCATATGAGACAAGCTTAAAAAAGCTGAGGTATACATCTCTTCCAATAAGTGCTCAATATCATTTTTTTTTTTTTTAAAAACCCACAACTTTAAATGCTGTTACAAAAACAAAGTGAGAAGGCAAGAAATGAGAAACGTTTTTTATTTCTCTGCTTGGGTTTCAGCAGTTATAGGAGTGAATTTCAGGTTTGGGCAAGAAGTGATTTTGGCTCATGACAAAGCAGAGGTAACTTTATAAAGCAGGGGAGATGACCTTTCAAATTGCTTTTGGGGGAGGAGTTTTTTTCTAAGGGAAATGTCCCTCCAATCTCCCACCTGTATTTCTTCCTCACATTCACACATCCATAGTAATTAATTTTCCAAGGGATACGTGGAATCAATTATTTCAAACAGCTAAAATTGCCCCCATCAATCATCTAAAACATGAAAGAATAATATCATCCCAGAACACTTAGGTTCTCATAACGTGCATGAAAATTATATTAGCTACATAGATCAACACTAAGGAACCACTATATAATGAGTAAAAAAAACGGAGTGGAATTTTTGAAAGTAAATCATAACAATTGTCTTCTTTCAGAAATTGCATACCTTGTCCATGATTTGAAAATCCATTAGGAATTTCTGAAATGGTTACCATAATATCCATAGTGTGACCATTCTGTGGCCCTGCAGACTCACCCAGGAGTATTTTTTAATTAGTTTATTCTGTGTCTGGGGTTATTTTCATAGCCCTACTAGAGCAGGAACCTCAGCTACAGAGCACAGGGCATGGGCATGCTTCATTTGCTGCAGAAGCTAAGGAAAGGGGCTGAAGGCCAAAGAAAACATGGGGGTACTTGTGTACTAACTGGAGGGTGCAGAAAAACAGGAATGCTTGGGACAGGAGAGTCAGAGGAGAATTGATTTTACATAAGAAAGTTAAATACTAGAGGATCTGGAGCAGAACTACAGAGTTCAAGGGCAGAATCTGTTCGAAAAGAAGCAGCTTCACAAGAAAGAGACATGAAAGAGGGACAGGGTGTTCTAGAGTAAAAAGACTAAAGGGAAGAAAAAAAAAAAATCGCAGATCAGTTGGGGTGAGATTACCTCTAAATCTGCTCTACAGATGAGGGAACACACACGTAACCATTGCCCCTCTTCTCCTTCACCCCCACCTCTTTGCTGTCAAGAGCAATAGGGCTAGTTTGTGACCACAAGAGAGACTGGGCATTTGGAAGGGCCGCTGGTACCAAAGCCCCTTGGCAACATCCCCCTTCTGTGAAACTGCACGTGACTACAAATTAACTCTCAGTGCTTAATAGCAGATATTTTTGGCCCTACCACTTATTTCTTGGCTGTAGAGGTTAAGCAAAGCTAGATATTTTTATAACATCGTGACTCAAATACATCCATAAAGCAAGCAACATTTTCAAATTTTTGTTGGCTAAGGTCATGTTTTGCAAACTTACTAGTACCAAGTGAAGCTTACCTATTTTTTTTTGAATTCTCATCCTTCCCTCTTTTAACCCCAAAAATTCTTGTAATCAGAGCACTAAAAAGAAGTGTAGATGAATTTCTTACCTAAAGGAAAAAGAACATGATAGATGTTTTAAAAAACCCTTTGAGATGTAGTAATTTTTTTTTTTTTAATACAGCCCCTAATGGACAGTCAAAAAGCGGAACAGCTGAGTGAAGGACAGAACATGCCTACTGTTCAGAGGTCAGCACACAGAAACAATTCATTCAGAGCATCCTTCCTCTTAATCAAGACGGCACTAATAGAAAGTTCAGATTTTTTGGAGATGTCTATCTTCAATATAACAGACACATACAGATTTCCAGTGGTTCAGAGCATTCACCCTTATCCATATATGAAATACTATTTTTTGTTAAAAAGCAAAGTAACAGTGAGAACGAATGTAAATCCACTCCTTATTAGCTGGGTGCACTGACTCAAAACTTAAGAACCAGATATATTTTTATCCCTACTTTTTGTCAGTATCAGCGCTTCACATGACAGAAAAATGAAATAAAACTAAAAAACATGACCAAAACTGGTTTCTTTTGCAGGTCTACATTATTCTGTATTGTACCTTAAAATATTACACCACATAATATTCCAGAAATCGTGGTACTGCCATTTATACACATGACCAAAGCTTCACTGAATAGCACCGCTCTACATCCTGTTACATGACGAAGCAAAATTAAGAATTAACTTACTGCCCAGACAGGTGACGTAAAACCTAGAATTGCCACTTGTATTCCATCTGCAACATAAGGCATGATGTTTTCACCTAAACGTGTATCCCTAAACAGCGCCCGAAGGATATTTAGAGCATGAACCTGTGAGGGTAGCAAAAATACAAGAAAAATATACATTCATTGGAACATACCTTAAATTTCATGTCTGCTAATTACAGCAATGAACACACAAAAACAATCCATATGCACATTTACACCACTTTATTTCTGTATTAAATACAATAATACCACTACTAAAAAAATATATTAAAACGGTGCAGCAGTAAGCACCGTTAAGAACAATTACAGTTTAAAAATGTATTTCTCTAATAAGTACAGTCCAGGCATCACAAACAAAGGCCATCATTCTTTTTTCCTTAGCTTATCATGGCTGTAAAAATAACTTTCAGAGTTTAGAATCATCTTTTCCAACATTCTTGACATGCTGTAGATACTGTGAGAAAAAATAAACTACAACTCAGAGGAGGACAATATTAAGCTAAAACTGACAGCCAGGCTTGCTTCACCATATGGAGCATCTTCTGATATTTCTCTACTCTCTAAAGGGGAGGGTGGTAATCTCTGTAGCTTCACAGACTTTGACAAGGCTACATAAATTCATACCAGCAGAAGATCTGGCAGAGCCATTAGAACATATTTCTATGTGATGTCAACAAATTATGGCTTGCACTTAAAAACAGAAAGATTAAGTATTTGATAACAACATTTTGAAGAGAAAGATCTTGACTTTAAAATATTTTTTATGCATAACAAATGTATATATATTTTAGAAGTTACTAAGTATGCATAAAATCACTTTCATATGGTATTTTACTGCATACAGTATGATTTATGTAACTCATTTATTTAGATGTAAACAAATGCTTGGTTGTTAATTTCTTTGTAAAAAGGAAATTACTCATCTATTTTTTAGAAATTACTATAGGCAGTGCACTGATTATATCAAGTCAAAATGAGTATGACTGTATGTGATGTACTAGAAAAAAAAATTATGCCCAATCCCTTTTTTTAGTATTTTATGCACTTTAAAATTCCAGTGACTTGATAACCTCTGCACATGCAAACGTGTTTTAAAATCTAGCTACAGATAATGAAAACAAATTATCTTTACTAAAAACACACACAAATTTATTTAACTGTTTAAAGTAATGCAAACATTTTTATGACATTTGCATTCTGATGAGAGATTGTATTGTACCTGTGGAATTACACTTGACGATTCACTCACAGGTGCAGCCAAAGATATCAATTCTTTCATTGTCATTTTCAGCAAATCTGTTTTGCTCTTCTTTGGTTCTGAAGCTAACAAAGCCTACAGAAAGTTACAAACACAAAAAAAAATTTTAAAAAGCAAGAAAAAAAGAAAAAAAATCAGGTATTTCTAGCCATTTTGCTTTACTACCAGCTCAGCTCCATGTTCCTATATTTACCATATTCCAGCCTAGCTTCTGATACCCACACAAAGACTTCAGAAAAATTCACAGAAAGTTTCAGTTTTAACTCTTACTTTTGTTCAAAGCTTCTTAGAATTCAATGTTTCAGTAAGAAAACTTTGCTCATGCACTATCCATCTGCCCAAGAAAATATGCTTGTATACAACAGATAATAATTTAATCACACACCAAAAAAAATTAATAGTATTTATTACAGCAAAAGTATCTGCTATATTATATGTACTTACATTTCCTAGTATGGACGTTCTTTTAGTTTAATAACATACATATTTAAGATGACATAGGCTGGCCAAAGAATAAATCATGGTTTGAAAAGCAGGCTAAAACAAACAGCACATTTTTTAAAGGAGAGAAGAGATGCATCCATCTCCAAATAACAGTCCAATAGGTAGGACATCCAGCTGAGATGAATATACTCCAATTTAATCCTCTAAAATTCAGGATTGGAGTTAAAACAGTCTTTCTCTCTAGTAGCTCCTGTTGAATCCAACTTAGTACAAATGGATAATCATAAATCACTCCTTTCTGATTAAAAAAATGAGCATTCATTCATGTTTCGTGACCCAGTCTGTTCAGCATCAGTGCAAGCAAGATATTTAAGAGCACTTTACATCACATAAGAACAATCAAATGGGTGAACTGCAGACCAAATGAAGTACAGAGGTTAGGCAGAAACCCAGTAGTCACTGTCAGTTTATCAGTACCATTAACAACGGGAGAAACAGAGAGGGAAGGGAAAAAGTATTCATGAAGTACAAAATAGAGGAGAATGAACTGAAGACTAATATTTCATACCCTAAAAACGTTAAAGCTGTAACTAGTATTTTCCCTCAATTTCCTCACCCACTAATTGGAGCTGCACCTTTGTACTATTAGGCAATAATATTTCCATTTTAAATAGATCATTTAAAACTCTCATAACCTTAAAAATTGCATATTATCATTAAAACGTGTTTTAGTAAAGCAAGACTAAGTGTTACAGGAAGCAGATGGCAAAGAGACCACACTGAGTCTTGATTTCATGCATTAATAAAATAACCATATTATAGTACTGTTAGGATAAGCATTACAACTTGTATTTTTATTATCTAAATGCAACATGCTATTTAAGGCTTAATTCATTTTACTGAGTGCTACAGGCACATTCAGAACTACTGCCAAAGAACACTCGTCTCTTTTTACAATGAATTACAATTCAAAAATAGATTATTTCAGACCAATGAGGTTTGGAATGAATATTGGGATTAATTGACTAGACTAAATTCATACTCTTCCAGAGTATGACCTGTTTATCTAAACAGCTATGGCACAGCGCAAGCTTTGCCATATGGGCTCAGTAATGTAGGCCAACTGCAGACGACAACGCGTTTTCTGCAGTGGGATACTGTTGGGCCTGCCTAGTCCTTACATCACACAGTGTAACTTTTTACATGAAAAAATGATTCAAACATGTTTGGTTGTTCACATGCTCAAGATTAACACTAGCTAATACCCACTGTATTAAACCTCTGTGGTGTGAATGGGGAAATCAGAAGTCACGAAATCACCAAATTCATTTTGCAGAAAACTTCCTGATATAAAAGGGAAAGAACGTTAACTACTGAAACTGAAAAGGAAAAACGTATCTAAAACCAATGCTCTTCTTCTGATATCTGCTGCCTAGCACACACACATCTAGCAAAGCCAGGAGCAGGCTGTGACACATAAGAGAGGTCAGACAGAAGCAGGCTGCCTCAACTTTCTCAGGGCAAACTCGGAGTGGAAAACAAGCAAGATGAAGTATTCTGGCAGGGAGAGCTTGCTCGCAGCCGTCCCTCAGACTGCTTGTGACTATACTTCAGCAAGCAGAGAAAGTTACAAAATTTGTATTTAATATTGGACACCTGTCTTAAAAACTGGTTGAAAATTAAAATTATAGAGGTTAATTTAGGGGAAAGCAATCACGGCCACTTTAAGGAGTGAAGGAACGGCAACAGCTTAGTGTAATCTGCAGGACCAACTCTGCAGTGACTGACCACACCAGGACGCAGATAGGCTGCTGCGTACTACTGCGAGGCACTCAGTAGGAGGTACTACTTGGAGCAGAGACAAAACACTGCCAGTCAACAGATCAGCCATCAGTTCTGAACTTGGCAGAAGCTGGAGGCCAGGATGTGTGGAGGTGATGGTAACACGGGGAGCAGGAAGACTGCAGGACCATGGCCCCAGATTGACAGATAAGTCTTCAGGAACCTGCTCATTCATTGCACTCGAGACTGACAGTCAGCACTAGTTTTAATTTATGAGTTTGCAAAGAGTATTGCAGTGGCCACACAGAGCCTCAGCTCAGACTTTTGAAATGCTATTCAAATCTGCCTCAAGCCAACAGAACTGCAGCACTCAACAGCACCAAACATGGTTTAATCACACGGGGCTTCCTTGTTACACAAAGGCAACTGAAGTGTGTATAAAAAGAAGTAACTGACCAAAAGGGGCTGAAGTAAGAAAAATAAATAAATATGTAAGTGTATTCACCAGAAAGGACATTTAAGAAAAAAAAATCAAGTCAGAGGTAATAACATTAGTTGGTACCTGTATGTAGAATGGAATTCCTGCACTACGTCTGGTTGCGCATAGGGTAGACGAAGGATCACAAGATTTGATTTCTTCTAACACACAGCTTAGCCACTGCTCTGGCATCTTGCGCAGACTCTCACTGTTACATCTACATGAAACAAATACATAGGAAACGTGAAACAAATACATACGAAACTAGGAGAGAGTCAAAGAAAGCAATACGCAACCTTAAATATTTCTTTCTGTTTGTGAACTTCTCCAAGCATATACACAGGTATTTTTAAGAAATCAAACCAGAAATTTAAAAAAGGAATTGCACATTTTTCCAATGTTGGTACAAATTACATTAACCTTAATTATTAAGTGCCACTAGGAAAAGATATTTCACTAAACAGAAAACAGGATTCTGTGCTTCAGCAGTGCAACTGTTCTCTTCTGCCAAGAACTATTATCCTGTTCTGGAGAAGAAAATAAAGACATATGCACATCGGTCACTGTGCAGAAAGTGACACTTCACAAATTCATATCTTTGTTGTCACACAGTCACTAATGCATGACCCTTACATTAAATAACATATACAATTATGTTTTTAACCATACAAAACAAAACTGAAGCCCATCACAGTAGGTACGTATTATGTAAATACCCCTGCAAACCTCAGAGCAGTAGAAGGAATTAAAAACAAGACATACTGCTCTTTTTAAAATACTACCTTAGTCAAACTTTTGGTAAAGCATCTAAATAGCTCTCCCATCATCAAATACTCCTCCTCTGCAGTTACAAAACTCAGCATTGCCTGAAAGCAAAGGACTTCCAAGGACAAGGAGAACTCACATCTACTTTAATTGCCAGTGCTGATCAGTTCAATTAAATGTACCATATTCCGTGTGCAAAACCAGATCATTAATCTTATGTCAATGTTGCAAAAGGATCATTCATTGTTACAGAATTTTCTATTAATGGGACATTGTTATTAAAACCTGTCACACTGGTTTGACACGTGATTCAGAATAGAAGAATTAATCACTGTGGGCACTACAACTGCAATTATCTCAACCATGAAGGACTTGCCTTACCTGAAAACATAAACTATAATTAAATTCATGATTAAGTAGCGAGACCTTACAGTAAGACTACAATCAAGTTTTCTGCCTAGGTGACTCAAATAAAGAATTTAAAAGAAAAGCCAAAAGGCAGCAGGTACTGACGTGAAAACCAAAATCTAACACAAGGTCTACATCTACTCTCTCCTTCTATACCCTCCTCTTACTAAAGCAAGCATTTATGTAGTCTAAAAACCTAATACTGAACCACAAATAAGGCGTTAATCTGTAGTGAAACCCTCCTTTCCTTCTTTTAAAAAATAAACAGAAAATAGTAATGCAGAAAACAGAGGTCACAAAAAGTGCCAGAGATGTCAGCAGAACACACAGGAGACTTCTTAACTCTTCAGTGATTCCCTTCAGATTGCCACCACAGGTTTCCTACACTGCTTCCAGACCTCCTCACAATTTTTTAAGGGCAGCACCTCTTCAAAACAGCAGCCAACAGGCGAACCATTAGTCCAGAACAGAAGAGAAAGATGGCTTCACAAGGGGTATCACCCCATACCGCAGCATAAAAAAAAAAAAAGTCACTTCCTGCCCCAAACCTGTGACAGAAGCAATCAAATTAATCTGGAAACTACAGGCAAGTTCCCTTTTCTTTGACTTTTCTCTTTCTATTGCTGATAATTAGCTTCCCCTGTTTACTTGCAGGATGTGTTCCTTTGCTCACTTTCAGGTACAAAACCAGGATGCAATTCTAGGGTTGAGACCACACAAACTTCTCCAGCATCTCCTCCATGGGTCTCTGCAGCTAGACTGCTTCACAGTTCTCTTCAGCCATGTCAACACATACTGCAAAACCTACTACTACTGATCACGTCTGTGGCGGGTCCTACCTCCCCAGCTAAGCAGAATTTAAATGTCTTAGTTTAGTCATGCAAAGAACAGTGCTCATCTCTCCTCAGTATGTTATCTTAGTATTAAAACAAACATCCCCCAAGACATAGTCACATCTGCTGTGGTGCAGAAGAACACCAAGTAAAGCATTACGGAAATATTTAAAAGTTGCTACATAGGACACTGAATATTTAATTCTTAAGAAAACTGAGGAGTTTTCCCCTTTCAGTAGTAGTAGAAAGAGGAGAAATACACTGAAATCCAATCAACTTCAGACTCCCTTAAAAATGTATTGCTTTGATCTTGCCACAAGTAATTCTACCCTGTTCAGTCACCCACCAAGGCACTTTTTTTTTTTTTTTAAGGTGAAAGAGTTATTGCTTTAAAGTTAGAAACATTAGGAGACTATTGACTTTGCAATGGAGATGACTACTCCCTTAAATTTGGCAGCTCCATCTCCTTATGGTCTGGCAAGACGAATATTGTCTTAAGAAGCAGGTGGCCCTAAATTTTAAGAATAATGAAGCTTTACAATGTAAAAATGGTGGTCTCAAGCTCAAATGTCATTTTCCAGAATGAAATAGTAATTATTTTTACCAGATCAAACAAATTGTGTTGATAATTAAAATATAACACAGTAACTTGATACACAAATTACTTACGATGCAGCACAGTGTTTTTCCATAAATTTCTGTCTGTCCACCTGCCGGTTATAACCATTTCATACATGCCCAAAACCCTTTCTGTGGTCAGTACCAACAAGTACAGAAAGCCTGGCAATACAAAGTCAAAGCTAAACCCCACTCCCTAACTCATATAGCTGTATTTTCTCCTATATAAAATTAACGTGTGTTAAGAACAAAGAGTCAATCTTGGATTTGGCCTTCCTGGATGTCAGTGGTTTGTGGCATAAACTTCACATGACTAGAAGCATTTCTACAGGGGTATAGCCAGAATTCGGTGTTTCCAATTGCTGTAATCAGTCCCAATCTGAGGAAAAAGGGGTTTTCTTTCACCGTCTTTCCTCTCTTATTAGACCTGCAATATTATTCTTTTTCACAGAAGTATTATGATTCCTATCCTTTATAAAGCTAGTGTCCAAGCTTCCCCTACCACTTCTCAGAACGAATAAGGAGACAAGAACCCAGCCTTAGAAACACATTACTACTCAAGGTCTAACTCACCCCACAAAAAACCTACTTTTAAGAACAACTCCTCTGAAACTACGAAGTCCTTCCACCTGAATCCTCCTTTTCATAGCAACTGCTCTAAATGAAGCAAAATTTTTGAAGTTATGTAGGTTCATTGAGAAAGGTGCTGTTTTGAGGTTTCTGTAGCAGTTAAGCAGAGCAGAGAAAACCTTGGGTGGCCGTAAGATTTCAGTATCATTACCCTCTCTCTCTCTCTTTCACCAAGCAGGAAAATAAATGGAGGTGAAACATACAGAGTTAAAAATTAACACGTCTTTGAACTGAGCAGTGCCTTAACATTTTATCTTGTACTTCATTATATAGCATACTCCCCAATTCTACAAGTATCACAATATATAAAAAAGAGGTTTCCCCCTAGTTTTCTCTCCTTCATTTTAAACTCTTCCCTTCACATCTGTGATTACATTTTTGATTAAAAGTTAGTGACAATTCTAGTACATTTCACTAGAAAGTCCATCAATGATTTTTACATTTTACAAGTCTTCCCAGCAGACCATAGGGAAGGCAAAGAGTTACAGTTACTTCAGAGCAACAAAACAAATCAGAAGTTGAGTTTACGCGTCTACTCCCAGTTCCACAACAGAAATATTACTGAAGATCAGATGCTGACTAGGCACAGATGAATAATTTCCACTGATACTGGATTAAACATTTGTAAAATCAAAGCAGGGTTTTCTTCATCATTACAGTTTTCCAGAAAATTATATTATATGGTCCTAACTTGTTATATATATGTAAAATTGTGTTCACTGAGTTTATTTAAGCTCTGATTTGAACATCTAAAAAAGTCCAAAACACATTATTCCTAAACAAACACATTACACTGCAAGACATAACTCTTCCCAAACCTTCCCCTTGCATTCTGCAACTTTGTCGAAGCAAGGAACTACAGCCATAGCTACGCAACACCACGATTTTGAGATTTCCAGAAATCTTAATGTTCTATTAGATCTCTCAGGAATGCTTCACTAAATAAAACCAAAACAGACAAAACACCATTGGCAACAGAAAAATTGTTTGTGTATTTTTAAGGATTATAGGATACTCAAGTTTAAAACAGATGCCCAGAGCCTTCCAGGTACTTTCCCTCACCACCATGTTATCAGACCAAATGAGCATTTGTAATTTCTCAGGGCCTATGACAGAAAAATATTTTTAAAAACCAACAACATTCCTTATTTCATTGGTATGAATGTTGCTTGTTTTGCTACTTTATGATTTTCTGAAGGTGCAGTCACAGATAACATTAAGCAGGCACAAGAACAAGAGCATTACACCCCTAGGAGGAATACAAACAGCGAAAAGGAAGAAGGGTAATTGGCATACTTAAAGCAGACTCAGCAATTTACATCCAGATGTCAATTTTAGATCAAATGTAATCAGGTTCATAAGAAATCTCTTTGAAGGAAAGACTTTTCTTTCACCACTAACTCAAACGTGTCTGAATACCATTGCTCTGTCTAGAAAGAGGTCTACCCTTGGTTCTTACAGAGGCTGGTATTTAAGGGCTGTATAGCTAAAAGCGAGCTCAGATGGTAAATTTTCCAGCAGATAGTTTTAAGTAAATGTTTGGCTATAAAAGTGAAGGACCATGTTCAACTAGAGTCTTTCATAAAAGCATAGGAAAAGGATTTAGCACAGTTTCAGCGACAAGATTTTTCACTGGGTCTTGGAGAAATAATGAATGAAGCCTCAAGGATGCTTCTGTAGGTCTTGAGCTCAATTCTGTTCTCCAGAATGTATCATATATTTAAGCTGTACATTCCTATAAGCTGCCCCAGGCAAAGGTTTTCTCCTCCAGTATTGGTGGATGCAAGAATAAATTAATATATTCTGGTACACGCGCTTCAAGACTGTCTGTGAGCCTGGCAGCTACGGAGAGAGGTAGGCCCGTTTGTACTTACCTGCAGAATGGAGCCCGTCTGCTGCTGCAGGGTAAATATAAAGACTCCGGGACAACTGCCTTCGCCAAAAGACTTAACTCACCCGTTTTGGAGAAGAGTCCCAAGATACTCCTCGTGTCCCAGGAGTACCAAACCAAAGAGTCATTGGCTGTTCTGTTATCAGTCTCCTTTCTTCTCTATTTTAAATACGAATATTAGCCTTGAGAACTGTATTTTTCTGGCAAGTATCTTCTTTCATGGAAATAAATCTATTTCCACATATTTCTTGTAAACTGGATTTTCCCAAAGGAATACTTACTCAAAATACTTTAACTTTAAAAATACTAAGCAGTATGCATCATCAAAAAACTGGTTTGGAGAACTTAATTCAGAAGAGGAAAATCACTTAAATATAAGTTTGGGGGTTTTTTTTTTCTTGCTTTTAAAGTAAATAACCAAATGTAAAGTAAGGTTGTGCGATCTCTCAAACTACTCAGACCAATTTAAAATTATGCTAGCACATAAAAGGAAATAATGTACCTTCTACACATCACCAACAGAACCGTGACTTCTAGTCTGACATCACATTGGCATGCAGAATGAAGGCATTAACATGTCAAATACCAATTTCTGTAGCCCTGCTGGTACCTATACACAGCTACCCCATCCCACCAAGACCACGTACCACAGACCAACCCTTCAGTTCTGCTGTGAAAAATGCCCGAGGGGACACACGGTGGAACTGGTCATGCAGCTGTCCTGTACTAAAAACACCAAAACTGTTTCCATTACATTATTTATTTTTACTTAAAAAAAAAAAACAAAAAAACTATCCCCTCTTCCTTCCTCCACACCACCCAAAATTAACAAGAAACAGACCAGTGCCTCAAATTGGCCCACCTGGGGCAAAAGTGCAACACTGGTTACTTAACCTGGCATTGGTGTGAAAATACATATATTTCAAATTGAAAATCTGACTGGCCTTTCCAAAAACTACATTGAGAACACCGCACCTAAACCCACAAAGTCAGTAGAGATTTTGATTTCTCTTATTAGGAACTGGATATAACTACATATCACAAAGAAACATTACCAACACTTGAAATAGGTAACTAAGCATGTAATGGAAATTCCAATGCTCTTGCCCAGACTTCAGGGCAATTCTCCTAATTTACTTCTTCTAGGAAAGTATAAAATTACAAGGGGAAAGAAAGAAAAAAAACTTAAAAAGATTGCATATCACATCTTGTGATGCGTTGCCAGGTAGTCTTCCAAATGTCAGAATACACAACTCAATGACAAGTAATAAAAGTTTCCAGGAAAACATCCTGGCTGAAACAAAAAGTCTGGCATTCATTTTCACAGAGGACTGGGGAAGCGGGGGTGGAAGGAAAGAATTCTACACTCCTGCTTTTCCCAAGAACTTTCGAGAGCTGTTCAGTACACTAGCACAGCAGAAATAGAGAAAAATGCAGTAAGCATTAAATGCCTGTATCGTCTTTCAATGCCTAAGCACCATAAGTATCACAGTCCAAGTCACAGACGTCATGTAACTAATGTCATAATCATGCACACACCAAATTCAGAAAAATATCTGCTTGCACAGCCAGTTTCAGGATTGATGCCACAGTTTGGAAAAACTATTATATTAAAAACATCATAAACTGCCCATCTTCTACCTGGAAAGCATTTCCGTAAGCTGCACAAAGCCAGCGTATGCCAATTCAAATGCACCCCTGTGCCTCGATTGCAGCAGATGATGTTTAAAGTAGTCCCCAATATTTTTAACCTAAAAACAAAACAAAAAAAAAGCTGTTTGAAATTATATATAGATAATTCATTTACATATGCAAGATACTTCTACAATTAAAAGCAGCAGTCCTTCCCCTCGTTGGAAAGGCCACTGGCAAAAGCAAAAAGCCACTATAAGTCCTATCATAAAAAAAGCCACACTTTAGGGATAACAAATATTATAGTAAATTTTTCAGGTTAAAGGGATAGTGATATTTCTTTAAAAAATGGGAAAAAAAATAAAGAACTTAAAATTAGCTATTTGTCCAAGAAGAACACAGGTTTTTAGAAAAGGGACAACTCAGATTTTCAGAGGAAACAAACTTAGAATCCTTCTTGTTTGCCTTCACTCTTACCTGAAATCCCAATGAAAATAAATCTACTGAAATCCTAACAGCAGAAATAAACACCTACAAAAATATTTAGAAAGATAATAAATTCAAACTTCAAAAATTGTGCCAAAGGGAAACAAATCTACCTTAGTTACTTTTAATGCTCTAGGAATCTGCATGATTGACTACTAAAAACAATTTTAAAATGAAAAAGATGTTGCATGTACATAGTAAAAAGAGCTATATTTAGAAGTCTGAGAAAGCTGAATGCTATAACTAGAATTTCACTGATAGTTACTTTCTAGAGCTCTACCAGGATACCAGGTTTTTTAAAGCTGTTTGGAAGCTTACAATTCCACACAATCTCATTCTACAAAAAGACATGCTTCCTTATTTTTTCTCTAATTTCTCATCAACTTTCAAGGTCCAAATCAAACCTCCAACGTAATAATTTTTTTAAAAATTGGAGACTAAGTCTACTTATTGTATCCTGCAGCTAAAACCCACCTAATGTGAAACAAACAATAATTGGAGATATTTGAGCTAAAACAGTTCTTTCTCCAAGTGGATTTTAAGCTAGTTTATGTACCTATAGGGTTCAGCTTTCTAGCCCAAAACCAGGAGGAAGTGCCCTTTTTTCAGAAGGAACTGACCCACAGAGAGAACAACTCTCCAGACATGTAAACAAAACCAAACCACGAAAACCATACACACACGAATCAAATTACTGTCCTGCTCCACCCTTACTTTTTTAGAATAAACCATACAGATCTTTGGGTTTTTTAGGGCGGGGGGAAGGGAGAAAGAAGGGTGTCACATAACTTTCAACTTTACTGTTTATATTTCTGAGCTTTTTGCAACAGCCACATTGCCCTGAAGCTTACTTTAAATTGAACTCTGATAAATTCATTTCCACATGTAAGCTAGATTTTGAAGAAAAAGCACTGCCATAAATCATTTCTCACAAATGACACAGGACTGATTCGGAGGCAAGTGTGTAAGTATGGATTCTTATCCAATAGCATCATGCCATCCAAGAGCATCCAGCTTCCCTCTGCCATAAAATCAATACTTCATATGTCAGGATGGAGAACAAGTTAAGGAATTCACATTCCTCTACAACATCAGAAAGATCTCCAGCAACTGTAAGAAAAGACGACCTTACCACTTTTGCATGCACAGGAAATAACTCCCTGGTTCAGGTTAAAATATATTCAAAGATGGAGTGCACATATCTTAAAATATATTTGATCATCTTGGTCAAAAACCTAGAGACCTAGAGTACGATAGATTAGTCTTACTAATGCAACCATCAGCAATCTACAGGGCCATGCTTGCTGTTGAGAGAGAAATTCTGTACGAGAGATCCCAAAAGTGCTCTGAGAAACAGTTGGTACATTTGTGCCTCCGTATCTTATTTTCATTTCCAATCAATTTTTCCTGGCATATCTTATTTTCCTGACAATTTTCCAATAAGATGCCACTAAAGTAGATGCCTACGTTCCAGAAGGTATTTTTTCAAACCATTAGAAGATGGCTTTAAACCCATGAAGGACTACAAAAGCATCTCAGAAACAACTAGTAGCCAGTGAACTATTGCCAACCATACTGAACTCGAGAGGAGACTTACTACATTAAGATCTGGGGAGACATTGTTTTTTGGTGGGTTTGGGTTTTTTGTTTGTTTGTTTCAAATTGTTCCTCGAAGAGAACAAACTCCAAAGCAGCAATGGGAGCCACACTTTTGTGTGTGGCATCCACCACCACTCTAGGAAGCCTGTTTCAGTGTTTGGCCACCCTCTCGGTAAAGAAATTAATCCTAATGTTCAAACCTCCCCTGGTGCAGCTTTGAACCATTTCCACTTGTCCTATCACTGGATACCCGGCAGAAAAGCTTAGCACCTCCCTCTCCCCTTCCTTAGGAAGCTGTAGAGAGCAATGTGGTCACCCCTCAGCCTCCTGTTCTCTAAACTAGACAAGCACAAAGTCCTTAGCTGCTCCTCGCAGGACATTCCTTCCAGGCCTTTCACCAGCTTTGTTGCCCTCCTCTGGACGCATTCAAAGACCTTATTGAGGGCTGTCAGTACTTGAAAATCTTCTGTATACTTCAATGTTCCACTGCAAGGGCTCAGACCAGCTCTCTTTGACTGTTAGGTTAACACAAGCAGAACCCCTGGCATCAGGACAGTACTGTCTTTACTTCTGTTTCTTTTCACTTCGGTACCAGTTCTGGCAAGCTTATCTCCCAAAATCAACCTAAAACTTCACAGGCAAGATAAAGAAGAGTTTGAGGGTGAACTCAAAGTTTCTCCAGGCTTGGAGCACTGTCTCATGATTTGCAGGTCATATGACAAAATCAACACAGATTCACTTGCGGATTACACGGTGGTTACTAGGCCACGATACTGTTTGTATTGTTCATCTCAACAGGCAAAGCTTTGAGCCTGTCATCTCTGGACTTGAACAGTCAGATCGAGAATGAAATGCAGAATACATATTTGAACAGATTTTTCCAGATGTACCAGACACTTACTATGTCTTTTTTTAAAGGCAAAGCAGCCATTGGAAAATGGCTTAGGCTTGCAGACTGCCAATTCAAATGCAGTATTTTGAGACTCCTCTATACACCCATCTCCAGATCAAGGAGACAAAGATGTTAGTAAGTGCACATAGTGGCATTCAAATGCCATGCAAACCCAATCTCTTACTCAAAAGACAAGGAAAGTGCAAACATGATATTGTCCCAACTTTTATTAACAAAAAAAAAAGTACCAAGCAAGAGCTGCCTCTCTGCCAACTTCTCCTACACAGGTACACACCACAACCGACAGCATTAACATCTAGGAAGAGGAATCAAAAATCTTCTACTAAGAAGTACAATTCCATTGTGCCATTTCTTAATGTGGACCAGCACCAAAGGACATTGTCTTTTCATTTACATGCTCAATTAAAAAAAAGGGACAAAAATAATCAAATTACAACGTGCAAATTCAACACTATGATCTTTTGTGTGAATAAATAATGACAGTAACACTGATCCCTAAAGGTACAATTTAACACAGTTACTGGCATAGGCATGAAACAAGCAGCAAGACAAGGAAGGCTTTGCAACAGGATGACACAAAAAGGCAAAGTGGTGCTACCAGATTTTTCTCAACAGTTGCTTAGCCCTGAATCAAGGCAATATGATCACAGCTTCTCTTAAGTTTTCACCTCTGTTCTTAAACATCTTTCAATACTTTCAGAATAAAGAAAGGGAATGGGCAACTTTAAGGGAAAGCTCTACAAACATAAGATACCAAAATCCAATTCTCTTCTTTCTCAGTACTGCAAAGTGGTCTATAAAAGTCTGAAGCAGTTCTGGTATTGATGCTTCTAGTAATTTTGGATGAAATCCTCTCTTTTTTTTTTTTTTTTCCCTAAAATAGGGTAATGGCAGTTACAAAAAGTGCAGAGAAAATACCCATGTTTTTTTCCCATAATATTTGTTATATATTCAGCAAAGTTGTATTTCCTCGTGTATTTCCCAACAAGCCTGAGGAAAATCAGGATTTTAAACTAACTTCTCATTAATTTAAATTCTTCAAATTAGCATGCAGATATTCTGTTTTACAGGAAGACATCAGAAGCATAAAGAATCTAGAAAGGCATCTATAAGAGAAGAAGATATGTTGCTTAATAATATAGCATTTCTGAAAAGGAAACTACTAATGTCTGCTTTCTAAATAAAGACAGAGATTTGAGCTGACTCATTCTAAAATATCAATTCCTTTTTTGACTTGGAGCAGATTAAGGAACATAATGGTGGAAACACGTATCTGTTCTCTCATCTACCTCCCAGACTTCTGCAACAATACAAGCATAACTGTCAACCAGATGAAAACATGAAGGCTAGAGACAATTCAAGAATAAAGATACTAACACTATTTTCATGGCACCACAACATTAGATAACATAAGAAATAAGATCTGCAGTACAATTATTTCTTTTATGATAGAAAGTTTAACATTTAAGGAAAAACTAAATAAATACTTTCTCTTAGAAAGAAAAAGAGGTTAAAAAGTAGTGTGTCTTGCATACTTCAATCCTCCATGTAGAGACTGGTTTTGTTGAAACCATATGGAAATGAAAAGGTCATCAATTAAAAACAGAAATTTAATAAATACAAAATATTTCCCAAATAAATGCCTGTGGTAATCTAATTTCTTGTAAACACTGCACTCAACATTCTACAAGAGACCCAGATGGCGTATTAACATTTCTGATCTCTTAAAAAAAAACAAATTTAGAGTCACATTACATACAAATTTTTCATAATTCAGTCTCCTATGTAGGACAAGACAACAACTAGTCAGCATGTCTGATTTTCAGTATTGACTACGAAGTTCAATTAGGGGAAGCGTTTTAAGCAAAACCCAACATCTAAAGTTCAAAATGAAACACGACACTTTTAATAGAAGTTACTTTAGAAGATTTTTAGCATTTTTAGCATCATAAAATTAATAGAGTTATTAATGCCTAATACATACCAATACATGTATATACATAAAAAGAGGTGCACTGGTATCCCTAAACACAGCATACATCTTATAAATAACCCAATACAATTAGAGTCCATATTCCTTGAGTTTGTTAGCTATGTACAATAATTTCTTCACTTATCTATTACTACTATAGTTATGCCTTCTGAATACCACTTTATCAAAAAGTAGACTGTTAATGAAGTACAATAAAACAAGAAAACCATGAGAAGAACACGGCAATAAAAAATACTTACCCATACAGAACACAGATTTAAGAAAACAGTTTTCTGAAAACTGCCTTCCTTCCCTAACAGAAATTAAAGGTTTTATAATAATAAGCACTTCCCTACCTGTTCTACAGTAATCAGCCCATCTGAAGGTTCAGATGCAGCCTGTGAAGGCAAAAGTTTACACAGTGTCCCTAAGAGCAGAGATACTTCCTTCATGCTTCTCCAGCAACATACAAGAACCATTTGGGCTGTGACATCACATGTTTGTCTTTCTTTACCTTAAAAATAAAAATCAACAAATGTAACGGTTTAACTCAAGGATCTCAGACACAGACTTGTAGTTTAAATTTTATTTAGCCTGATCTTCTCACAAAACACAAGTATGCAAAAAAAAAATAAATCTGAATTTGATAACCCAAAAGATAATTCAGTTCTGCTGACCTTAATCACTTCCACTCCTGAACACTCACTGTACTTTGTTCCACTTGGAAAAGGCAGCAGTACACCATTTCACCAGGAAACTGACACTTTAAAATAGAGGTCTTTTGGTCACAATTCATATTCACCTGCACACTGAACTATACAAATATCTACAACTTTGGAGCCAGGCTGCAACGAACTCCACATCAACCACCAGTCCATCACTCACTGTGTTATCTGGTTTTTCACCCACGTGCACCCGCAGGAAGAGAGGCCTGGCAAAGGCAGCACATTTCTAACACAACATCCCCATCTGGTGGCCATTTTGCCACTTTCACATATTTACAGACTTCTTTCCATGAAACAAAGCATATGGCCCAACCAAAACTATTTTAAACATAAGTAAAAACATGTAAGGAAAGAAAGTTCAAATATTTAATACTTTAAAAGCTTACATAAACTATTAAACTTAAAAATGTCCAGATATTCTATAAATTTCTGCTGGTATACCCTAAATATGCCAAAGTTTACAATTTCTTTATCACTGTAAGGCTCAATTTCACAGCTGCTATTCATTAAACTAGACAAATACTATCTAACATTTTACCACTGGAATCTTTCAAATAGATGTTTCTGCTTATGTAATTTAATGCAACAAGTTTTACTGAATGAACATATTCCTCGCTAGTCTTGTGTACGCTGGAGAGGGAAGTCACACTAACACATTTCAACAAGAAATGCATTAAAAGTGTTCCTTGACAGAAAAGGTGTTAAAGATTACCCAGCCAATGCAGTTAAGGCAACAAAGTCTAGACCAATATCAAAACAACTCATTTTCACTTGTGCTCTAAGAGAGATTAACCGCAATCTTCCAGAAACACAATGAATTAGTCTTTCAAATCATGCCCATGAATAACTAGCTTCTGACAGATTTATTGAAGCAGTGAAACATTATACAGAGCAAATAACTTCCAATTTTGATCACCCACGAAAAAGGCCTCCTCTATAAAGAATATCTTGATTTAATTACTAATACAGCATTAGACTTACCTCCTATTTCTGTGCAAATATTTTCCATTGGCCTGTGGTCAGCCAGCTTTTCAGACTCTACTTCGCAGTGCTCTTTCAAAATTTTTGCTTGCATAAAATAATCATTTGTGTCCTGTGGCTGTATCTCATGTAGAATCATCTGCAGGCGACCTGCACTTTCTCCATATTAAACGAGAGGAATATATAAGATAGTTTTGTTTTTTTCCTTCCACTTCTTTATACAAATGTAATTCATTTGTAAGTACAAAAGAAAGCTATTAGAAGTAAGAAACAAAATATAAAACTATGGTGATTACAAGGATTAAGCAAGAAAGAAAACTGGACTTTACACTCAACTGTTTTGAAACAGATGCAACAACACAATCTGCAAATCTTTTTTTTTTTAGTGCAGAAGTCAAGACAATCTCTATCAGAAGTTAAAAGTGTGACTTAAGATCACGACATGAGAAACTGAAAGGGAGGGGTGCTAGGTGTAGTTCTGAATCACTGTAAGATACACAGCACTTTGGGAGCTCCAGATTTTAAGAGAATTCTTTTGGTGTTTTGTTTGTTTGTTTACCTGAATCACTATCCATTGGAATAAGACCCTCTGGTGATGAGCTCTGCACTACTGGTGATACTACAGCAGAGAGTTCATATGACATCAGAATGAGCCTGGCCACCATTTCCTTCCATTCAGCTACCAATGTCAAGTTGCTTAAAAAACAAACAAACAAAAAATCCACAAGCAAAAAACAATACAACATAGATTAAAAATAATTTTAGATTTAAAAGAAATAAATGAAATTACAAACACTTCCAACAACAGTATACATGAAAACTATAAATAGGGTACAGTTTGAAAAAGTCCTAAGACTGAGGTTAAGACATACAAAGGAAATACCCAACAGCTACCTAAGCAAGCATAGCAGGCAGTAAGAGTTCCAAAAGCCACAGGTACTGGATTTCATTACAAATAACACTGTATGGTTTTATGTTCTCCTGAGCAGCTCTTCCACTGTGCTTAAATATGGGGCTACAACTTACTACTTAGCCATATGTTTTACTTACTTAAAAGGTAGTTGCTGCAAAGCCCCAGTAATACAATGCACTCTCCCATACATCGGGAATGATGCCGCTGCTTGAAGCAGAGACTTCTTCGCTTGAAATATTTCTTCTTCAACATTCATCAGCAAAAGCTTGATAACTAAAATTGTAAAAAGTACAGATTTGCATTATACATACATACATTTTCTAAGAAAAATCTGCTTTAAAGATATAGGAATAAAGCCTGTTTACACAACAATTCAATTAAGAATGCATAGCAATTTCCTTGTTTATACTTTTCATTCTTCTGTTGTTTAAATAGAAGCTATTGTCGATCTTCAATTACCTAAAGTCCAGCAATATTTATTGTAGGCAATTTAGTCTATCTGAATCAGATGGCAGCTGTGAAAAGCAGAGCCCCGATCTGTACTCTGAGACAATCCCACAGCTCATGATGAAGTGAAATAACCTAACAAATACTGAAAGTCAGACTTCATCCTTGGAGCCAGGTTAATACAACAAATATTTCAGAAGCTTACATTGAATATTTGAATCTTAAATTAGGCACTAAAGAAGTTGCCCAATTTTCAAAGATACATGTGCCTATTTTATTTACGCTTATACCATGCAGCATCTCAATGTCAGAATCAGAATTACAGAACCTAATAACAAACTACAGATAACTAACAGGAGATACTCTATAACAATGAGCCATGAGGTTACCCATGCATTTGCTTCATTTACGGCAACCACAACCATGTCTCAAAAACCATGATTTCACTGCACACAAAGAAAAGCATTAGTACACATCCGTAGAGAAGCCAGTAACGGCACAAAAAAGTATACAGTAGTTCATTTACTACAAATTACATCCAATGCTTTATTATAAATAAAGAATTTAAAGATTTTAGTTTTATTGCAAATTACAAAAGGTGGAGGAAGACTGTGTAAAGAATTTGGCAGGTCTAGAGCCTCTCAGCTCTCATCCAGAAACACTAAAGCAGACAAATATATCACACGTGAACAAAACCTAACTACTGTAGCAATGTATATGCAAGACTGCAAACCACTCGGAAAAATGGTTCCAAGTGAACAGAGCTCCAAGGGGCAGCATCGCAAATACGAAGTACTGGAATACGACACAGAACAATGACAGCTGCCTTTGCTCTGGGTGAGCCAGCTCTTACAGGAAGCAGAGGTTCCTCTCTTGCACTTTGTGGGCACAGTTTCATCAGGCTAGCTACCAGGGCCTCAAGTCACTTTCCTTCTGATCAAAATAGTAACAAAAGCCATCTTCCGAGAACACACAATAGCCTCAACATAAACAGGACTAGATTAAGATCCTACTAAGGCACCTAGCTTCTTAACAGCAAAACAAAATGTACTTAAAATCCTACTAGAAATATCTCTTACTTATTACGCCTCCTACCAAAAGCCATAAGGAAAAGCAGTAAGATTTCAAATAAATATGAAAAACAGAGGTGGTAAATTTGCCCAAAAGCTCACCTGCTAAAGTGTTCTTCTCCACTGTACTTACTGATGTGTTTTCATCTATTTGGGGTTTATGCTTAACATGTTTTCCTAAACAAATATGCTGTAGTCCTTTATGATGTACTAAGAAGTTCAACAAATATGAAGCAGTGACACAATCATATGGTTTGGTACTTGTGCTAAGATCCACTGCTGCTTGGAATAGGAGATCTAGATTTTCAGAAACCTGAAAAAAACAAACCAATGTTATTCATTTTATTGAGGTCCTATATTGATTTAAACTGCTTAGCACCTTGAAATCTAAGAACCTGCTTTTCAGAAAGTTTGCTGGTACGTATTTCTTAAGAAACACATATTCTGTACACTGATCATCTTACACTGAAAGCATGCATGTGTATGTATTTAGCAAAGATACAATTACAAGCACATTGAGGACAGAAACAGTAATTTGTAAAGTAGCATTCAAACATGCTGTAATTCACAGGAGGATGTTTTTGTTTCCAAAATACTGTGTTTTATCTGCTAACAGACATCACAAAGAAGTGTGGTTTATTAGGAAGCAGTATTTGTTCATCTGAACTACTGAATTTAAAAGTAACTTTTTATGAAGTAAACAGAAAAATCAGTAACAAGTCAAAGGGCAAAATTTGGGAGAAATAAAAAAGACCATCAGAAAATGAAACCTGAGATCAATCAGAAAGGAAAAGAAACAGAGCTGAATTTCTTAAAATACAAGAATAACCAAGTCAAAATGTCTCAATCATTTACAAAGGGAAGTTACAGCTAAGCAAGGAGCTTGCTTAATTATTTCTTTGATATTTCATACTCGCACTCAATGAACTTCCCAAGCTCCTTCAGCCATTAGTGAAACAAGCCTCCTTAGGTAAGGACAGAAGCTGATATAGTTGATGTTAGTGACGAGTGCTACTGCAGTCAACATGGACTTACTTCTAATTTTCAGTTATTATGCCCTGCACCTAATCCAAGTACCTGGTGTAATATAGAATATTCCTTTTTTCAATAAATTATTGCCTTTCGATGATTTTTAGTTACATACCTGTAAATTAAATGCAACATCCCGTAGTTTCATCAAAAGCTCAAATGCTAGAACTTTTACTTCTTCAAAAGTACTGGCAAAACACTGGATCAAAGTTTGGACACGAGTACAATCAATCACCTGATCCAACTGAAAACCTTGCGTCTGGCCTGTTCAAAGAAATCAATGCCTCACACAGTTTTGTGCAATTCTTTCCAGAATAAGCACTGCATTCACATTTTGCTTACCTATACTAACAGAAGCACCGAAATGAAATTTTAGCTAAAGCATTACTTTAATATTATTTACTTCTCTTACTAGGTCTTAAAATGCCATGTTTATTGTTAAAAAAAAAAGGCTACCATAGCCAAAAAGTGACTCTCAGTAACACACAGAGTAACTTACTGCCAAAACCAGAACCCCACTTATTCACAGAAAATTGAGCACTGAAAATAACCTTTACTTTAGCTTTGCTTAAAAATTATTTTCCTGGAAGTACGTAATATTAGAAAATAATTCCTTTCAAAAAAGGAATTGACTTCAGTGTGTTTTGGGTGGTTGGGCTTTTTTTTGTCACAAGAATAAGGCCCTAAAATGGAAGCCATTACAATTTTTTTGCTTTTAATTTAAAGAAGTCGTGATTTCTGGCAACTAACCTAATGCTGCAGAGCAACCAGATCTTTCAAGAGTGTACAACACAGAACACAACAGCAGCTTAATCTCCTTTGTAACAGTAACGTCAGGCTTCTGAAATCCTAAAGCTGCTATAAGCAACACCCAATACACTTTCTATTAAAAAATAAAAAAGGCAGCAACAACATACCACAAACTTGTAATAGTAAAATTAATGTGTTCATGATTTATCAGGGGTTTTGAGATAAGATCTATCAAGGTGGCATTTTTTTCCCTTCCTCTCAAAACCAGCTTTTATCTTATATGGCTCATTTCTTTAAAAAAAACAATAAACAATAATTACCATTTAAGACTGAAAACATATTTTTATGTGGCCATATAATCCAGACACAAGGTTTTGCAAGATCATCAATATTCCAAGGCTCCAACTAACACTTTTTGAATTGGGGTTGTCATAATATTGTGAAGAAAATTTGAAGTAACAGCAGCACATCATAAACTGTCCAAATTAAAGGGTTCCTTATTTAGTATAGTAATATCATGATGACATGCAAGCCTGGCTCCATCAAGGTTTTAATGGTCTCAACATTTCAAATTACATATTATCAAGATGTCAGAACAGAAAAAGAGGGCAAAGTTATCAAATACATTGAATCTTGTCCAAAAGTTTTCTTCATAATAACAAAAAATCTGTGAAAAACCTTGCTCAAAAACAGGCTATGCAAGAAAACCCCAATTTATGGAAAATAATTCAACAGGACATAAATGTTTGTATTTACTTCAAAATTCTATTTTCCAATAAAACCTTATATCCTTCCTTTGGGTAAAATGAAAGTGACACAGGAAATGCCACAGAAATTAAGGACTAAGAATATAATTTTATATTCTTCAATAACTCTCATTCCCACAGCTGGTAAATTAGACTTCTCACCTTTTGGAGCAGAAAATATTTCCGCTATTGATCCTAAAATAGTTAGTGCAGAAAATCTGGTTGGGTGTGATGAACCAGGAAACAGTGCCTCGAAAAGTTTGTCACATACAGATGACATGAAATCCTGAAAAATCACAAAAGACATTTTAACACAATTTGCTTACTGCCCTACAAACAAAAGTCTTAGTAATTGAATTCAAGACACTTTGCTTTACACGTTACCCAAAAAATTATGACCTTCCAGTTAATTTTGGAGGAATGGGAGTACTTTCATAGTACTGACAAACTTCTTGTTTCCTAGAGTACAGTGAGGGCTGGACAACTGTTTGTTTGTTTAAAAAAGTTCCCTTCCCCACTCCCAGAAAAAGATGACCATTGTATCAAAACCTTTAAAAGCAGTAGAACAAGAAAAGCAGAACTCAAGACAAGAAACAGTTTAACACAAAGAAATTTATTATGTGAGCCTTCAAACAGGACAAAGGACAAATACAAAAGAAGTTTTCACACCAATGTCTTCATGCTGAAGTTCTGTCATTAATTCTCACTGACCATTCTGGAGAGCTAGAAAAAGGCTGAAGCTCAATGGATAGAGTCTATTCCAAGCCCAAATAATGCACATGATTTAAAACTTGCTACTGAACTGCCAGCAGCTGACAGGACATTCATCTGAAAATTTTAGTTTCGATTGCAGGGTATGTCTCCATTCATTTCCCACTGTTTCATTCACTGTTTCAGTTCACATCATGGAGCAATCCCTCAGAAAATAACCTTGATTGCTTTTGGACATAATTAAGCTTCAAGATACCCTCCAAATATTAATGGGCACTCAGTTCATGAAACAACAGGACACCTAGTCAAAATTAACTTGCCAAGTGCCTATCGATTGGACAAGGTCGTCAGCACTGTTCTGCTTTACAGGTTTCTTCCTTCTGCACTATTTCCTAACAGACACAGCCTAACTTATCCAGAGGTGTTTTCAAGAACAATTAACTATCTTTCAGAAATGCTATCCCATCTCTGACCATCTGTATCTCTAGCAGTTTAACTTACTTTATATTGCTTCAAAATCCCCAAAGGATGTCTTTCAGTTGAGTTTTCAAGTAACTCTTGCTTGGTTTTATTTTGCACCAATTTAAAAAGCACCTGGGAACTTTCTTGTATCCTACAAAATAACTTTTAAAACAAAAGCAAAACATAGATAAGGCAAGAATCACTGACAGATAAGTAAGGAAAAGGGGGATTTTCAGATTAATGTCCAAACTGTATTGCTTTTAATTAAAAAAAAACAAATTGCATACTGTATAACATAGAACAGATCCTTCTCTCTCCACTCCCAAGCCAAGTTTTTTGCTTCCCATTTCTCTTGTGACCAACCTTTTTCCCCTCCCTCTGCACCTCCAACACCTTCTTCTATCTTCTTCCTGACATTCATGTCTAGCCTCCTCCTCCCACCTCCCCATTTTCTGTGGAACATGTGATGCTCTACAAAAAAAGCTCAATTAATGCTCAGATTTTTTATAGCTTCAGTGTCTCTTACAGAGTTTGACTCACCTCAGGCATGCCTCCCCCAGCTCTTTTATTACCCACCATTATTATTTCCTTTCTTATTTCACTCCCTCTACCACAATTTCTCCATCTCATATTCCTCAGGCAAGAACGGAAAGAGATGACTTCTGCTCTTTTGCTTCTGCCAATCCTCTTCCCTCATTTTCCCCCCCTCTCAAATTATTTTCTCCTTCCACACTGCTTTCTTTCGCCATTAGTATCTTCCAAAACGTTCTTTATACATACACAGTCTCCTCATTTTATCCATATTCCTCTACTGTGATCTCCCATACACGACCTTGGCAACTTCCACAATGCTGACACACTCAATCCCTGTGGACTGTAACAGCACAGCCATGTCATGCTGTTCCTTTAATACTCCTCTACCTTGTCTTCAAAGACCGGTTGCTGAGGCTTATCAAGTGACTGTGGATTTGCCTGAGGTCTGGTAAGGCTACATAAGAACACTCCCAGCCCACAACACAGGCAACACAACATTCATTGCTTACTCTACAGCAGATTGCTCTGCTATTGCTAAAGCATGCATATGCTGACAGGTTAAGTAACACTTATACCATTCATGATCAAGTTACCATGCCTACCGCTTAATTTTTTGTTTAAGCCATGCTTGCTTGAGATGATTTATCACCATTCAGTTGTGTAATGCTTACAACATAATCCTGGTCTTAGAGCTTCTACTCTTTCAGTTGAGCAACTTCATAACTTATTCAGTAATTTTTTTTTTAAATGCTATATAGCTAACATAATAAGCACATTAGACATCATTTATAGTTTTAAAATACCTTTCTCAGTAAAGAACATATCTGTTGCCTTACTGATGGAAACTGGCTGTTCAAGTTGTACATAATAAAAAATTGGATTAGGTCCATTTCTTCCACAGACACAATTTCCGTGCTACGATGGGTTTCACAAAGCAAACCCAAAGCATCAATGCAAACCTAGAAGATATTTAGATGTAAACCACAAAAGAGTTAGACATCTGTGATGATACGTTTGTTTTAAAACAATGACAGCACAGTATTTTGGATCAAAACAATTATTCTTATTTAAAGACACACAAAAAAATGTTGTCCCTCTACCTGATTGTGCTGATGAACTAGACCCTGTTTTATACATTCAGTGGATATAAGACTCAAGATATTTGAAAGTTCCAGGCGTCTGTGAGCCCTGGCAGTTCTCAGGCATGCCATCAGTGCTCCAAGAGCTCCTCTAGTACTGCAAGAGCCTAAAGAAAATGAAAACCACAAGTAACTATAGTTTGATTAACACAATAAATAATGTACTAATTGCAATGCTTGTCAGAAACTCCCCAGAATTCCACCACACAGTTCCTAGCCCCCTCTTATTTTCTACCCCATAAAGCCCAAAAGACAGTCAGTCACAGATTCAACTACTGCTAAATTGCCTGGTTCCCAACAACCTTCTTCAACTCACCATATAGAAAAAGGACCTTGTGATGTCTCACAAGGCATTATTTTAGAATTACACTCAATTATCTCAAAAACTATGAGAAAATTGTAAATCTTGTGTCCACATATTTGCAAAAAAACCCCAAAACAATCTGTAAAGCTCTGTTATTGGACATGCCTATGTAAGAAATACTAGCAGAACAGGAAAAAACACTAGAAAAAATACTGATACATAACAAAGCCCGGCAGGTAAAGAGAAAAATAAGGCACCCACAGTTAGAATACTAATTATTTTGTTCATGGCATGAAGACACAATTTGTTATTATGAATTCCACCTTGAAATACTAACAGCAATAATAACCATTTTGAATTTTTATCCCAAATTAATTCTAGCAACAATAATAGATCAGACATCACATTTCTGAGATTTACAAAAAAAAAAGGTCATAATTACAAATCTGATATTTATTTTCTTACCAAGATTAGCATCTGCAGAAGCCTGAAGAATTCTAATCATGTAGCTCAGACTGTCAGGGCTATGGCTGAGCAATTTTGGTAAATAGTAATCTATTATATAAGTAGTCTGGTCATGGGCCCCTTCGCACAGTATTACAAGAAGGGGAGAAACCCAGATGTCATGCCACTGGTCAATCCAGGTGCTTTCTTGAAAATGTGAAGTAAAATGGGCTTTGTGATTTATAAACATGGTTTCCAGAAGATCACTAGCATAGGGTGCAAGAGACTGATCATTCATCACATCCAAGATTTGTGCTGGAATTGTTCTGTCCAACTGTAGTATATTTTCAGTGCCCACACACTCCACAAGACAGCCAAGAGAAGCATATTTCCCTTTCACATGCCATTCCAAGCTTAGTAAATGCTTTGTCAGCCTTGCAAAGAATGGGTCTGATTTTTCATCACATCCTGTAATGGTGGTTCGGTGTATCTGAAGAAGATTCTTGAATATCAGTTTGGTTTGGTGTCTAACAGCATCCAGAGGGTGTTCCCAGTGTGTGTAAATGTATTCCAGCAGCTTCCCTATTACGTCAGAGTTCCCATTAAGTTTGATTTTTAGATTTGGGGAGCCTGAAACGAGTGCTAGTGCTGAACTAGTCCAAATAGCAAGGATTCTAGACAAAGATGTTGCCATACTGGCTTCTTTTAACCTTTTAAAAAGAAGAAACAGAAAAAAGTTCATTATTTGCATTTGTCAATTTAAAAAAAATAATTATTCATCACATTAGTTTACCTCACATTAAAACAGGTAAGGACGCACTAACCATTCACTGACAAAAAGCAACTAATGCTAAAAGGAGGTGATGAATTGGATGGTGCAAAGTGTATGCTCAGTCAGCTGACATGCTGTTATCTGGTCACAGCTAAAACTCCTAAATATGGGGAAGAGAAACCTGACAAGCTGCTACACTTGCTACTTTAAAAACAAAAATTAAAATTAATGTCCACATGCGAACAGGTTACTGCATACTTCTTGAAAATATAAGGTAAACTTTTCATTGCCATACAAGCCATAAAAGCTGAGTACCATATGCACAAAAACAAAATCATAAAACTGACCTCCAAGGCAGGACCAGAGGTTGAAAAGAATACATGTTTTAATCTCCTATCCAAGAGTGCTGGTATCCCATTAGATGCAAACAGTTAATGCTTGCATGCAAAAAAAACCAACTCCTCTTACTTCAAGTATTCTACTCACTGGCACACTTGGTTTTCTTCTGTACTTTTAACAGCATAGGAGATGATATCCTGAAAATAAAGTTTATCCATCTACATAACAACTGATTCTACCATACCTTAACATCAGGCAGTTGGTAAACTAATCCCACTTATGTTGGAAAAACAAAATTTCATTTTAGCATGCAAGAGAAAATTATAACTTCAAACTATCTATGCAATATCAAGACATTTTTCAAACTTACAAAGAGTTATTCTGAATATATAAATAAAGATGACATGATCTGTGGCAAAAATTAATATCATTACACTGAAAACAAAAGAGATATTGCACCAGGACCATAAGAGCTGTGCAAAAATAAAAAGTAAAAAGATCAATCCCCTCCTCCCAACCACGAAACAACGCAAATCAAAACACAGGCTTACTCTGAACTCAAAGACAACAAGACTGATACGATATCTAATAATAGTTTCTCTCCATTTTCACCCATGCTGCCATTCTTCCATTCCAACATAGCCAGGGCTCCATGGCAAAGGAAGAGCAGGACCGAGTCAGGGAGTTCTTCCATACACAGAGTCCCACAGTTACTCACAAACCACGCTGGCACACCTCCGTGTTTCATTAACCCAAGAAGCAAGTTACTGACCTGTAAAAGCAAAATAACACCCATTACAGTATCAGCACAGGAGAAAAGCTGTTCTGTGCAAATCAAAGATCTGAAGAGATTTCTTACACATTGTTTTTCTCCAATTCAAAAACCTAGTCACCTAGTCGTAATTTCATAGAGCAAAGAGAGAATAAAGGATTTACACTCCAGCAGAAGACTGATCCAGAGATTCGCTAGTCCTGCTATCCGTATCAGCAAAGCCTCTGAACAACACTGGTAGCACTACATAACGACACTATAACATTTCAGTCTTCAGCAAAGAAACACACTTACCAAGGAAGGTAATTCTTCAACGGGCTCATACATAGCTTTAGTAAACAGAATAACAGCCAGTCCTGAGGTAGCCTGAACAGTTTGCAGGAGAGTTTCTACAGGGCAGAGAAAGATATTTTACATTAGAGTGCACCAAATATCGTGTGCTAGAGCTACGTATCAAAATTGTAAAGATGGTATTGAATTTTCCTAGACTATTTGTAGTTGTATAATTTATACTCTAGCGTAATACGAAACTACCAATACCTTTTAACAGATAAAAAAATATAGAAGTGCCTAGTAAGAAAAGGAGGACTGTGGCAGAGCCTATCAACATTTATATTAAATTCTACTGTACAAAGATATCCGCATAAGTAGTAAAAAAAATTAGTTATAGTGCACTAATAACTAGTTCTAACAGCGTAATTCATACAGATACATAAATTTTTTGTAGACATTTGGTGAGTCTCAAAAGTCTTTCGGTTAGTTTCTAAATTACTAGTAATAGCATTTACCTTGGTTTTTTGTAGCGGGATAAGTTAAACTGTACACTCCAAAATTATGATCTAGAAATCAGAGTCTGCTGAAAGACCTGCTACTGCTCCCACTCCCATTAATCTTAGCAGTTCAATTTCCATTCAAGCTAAATGAAGTTTTTACAGGTACAAGTTGTGTTTACTACAAAGACAAGAAACTGACTTAAAAAAAATTGGGTTTGAATGTTACTAAACTTACCATCCATTAGGAAGCTTGTGGAGCTTTTCAATAAACTACACATACTTTGCCAAACAAAAGACTCACGGTGTTTCCAAAGACTTCCCTGGATATTTTCTGGCAATTTTTGTACAAGCATCATGGAAACTTTAATAGCTATCAGTAAATCGTGCATCAACTGAGTCTGAACAATATGATTTCCATGATTCTTTCTGAGAAGAAAAAAAAAAAAGACAGACATGCACACAAAAAGGAAATGAAAACCATTCTTCACCATCCCCAGAAAACTACGTTCTGCCAACTTCAGACAGAATTAATGGTAAAAACTAATTTATTGTTTGAGTTGACCAGATAAGTAACTATAGGAAAACAAAAAGCAGACTCAAGAGCAGTGTTTTAAAATGAAGTTAACAAACATAATGCCAAATTCTCCTACAGTTTCTGCAGGTTCCTCTGACAGACTTTCACTCATTTGATTCTGTCCAAGCAGAGCTGAATTTTTCTAGAAATTCTGCAAAAAGACAAACAGAACACAGTGCTGCTCCGTTGTCATTTTTCAAGCAGTTCCTCCATGTGCAAAGCATACTTCTATGATTCAACTTTCCTCTTACACGAAGACAGACAACATGCAAACTTCCAATGTACAAAACACTCCATTAAGCACCTTCTCCTCTTGGTACATGATGAGAGACCACAGTGAAGAGGCTTCCCTTTATGCAATGTTGGAAAATGTCAAGATAGTAGATGACTGCTGTGACGGACTAAGCAGAACATCAGTACTGAATTAAACACTCATAGAAAGTGGAAGAGTATTAATCTACCTGAATTTTAATATGTGTTTCTATTAATTACAGTGTTCAGTCACAATTCAGATAGCAAAACCACAACTCAAAGACCTCCCTTAAAAGTAGCTGCTCCAACACAGTATCAGTGCCTTAAATATTACCGCCTTTAATTTTCTTCCTTTCCTCTCTCATTTTATATCAACATATTGCCACAAAAGAAAAGAAACTCAGCAGCAGCTATTTTTTATTTAAAATATGTATCATTGTAAAATGACATTCCCATCTTTCACCAATGTATGGCTATCAAACTGATATTACAAGCCATACCAGATTATCTTAAAAAGGGAAATAAAAACAGACAAAATACAGCTTATATTGAATACACTTGCCTGTTTTCTTCCTGTATGTCAAGTAGCGACTTCTGCAGAAACTGAAGAACTAGTGAAAATAATTATGGTATGAATTTATTTAAAAGAGAAATAGAACAGAAAATTCCAGCAAAGCAATCACACATACACATCACACCCAGACACAACAAACAGTTATCCATACAGTGGTGTTTCTTCCACTCCATACACACATTAAACTAAATTACAGTGCAGATACAAAAATGCCATGCTAAAACAAAATCTCAAGCTGGTTCGTGTCTACCTGGTACAAAACAAGAGTTTCCAACTCACTTGGCCTAATCCTGCAAGGTACTGAGAGTTCTGGTTCCTCAGTGAAAAGCTGAAATTACCAAGAGCTAAAGACAGAGCAGCCATAAAACATCCACAGGAAATCGTGAACTTTATCTGCATGCCCAGGGCACAATATTTCAAGTTATTCCATGTTACCACCAGATCAGACTTCTGACAAATTACTGACAAACAAAACTCTTGCCACAGCAGCCCTGGGCTTGCTATAGTCAAGACTGTCTGTTAACAGCTCAGTGTCACCATTCACAACTTCATCATGAGGCACATGACAGAGTAAGTACTTCACGTAAAGTAGCACCAACTCCCCCAGCCCTTTAAGAATCATTCACTGGTATTTTCAGATTTATATCTATGGCTGCTCAATAAAGCAAGACTGATCCCTGGAAATTACAGACACAAATCAAGGGCAAAGTCTTTGACAAAAAAAGTACCATGTGAGGGGGTACCAGTCATGAAAAATTAACCAGGAGGAAATGAGATCTGATAGATCTTTATGCCTTCCTCATGTTACTTCTTCACACACAACCCTTCCCCCAATAACCTACAGTGAAACTTATTTTATTATAAATATAACTTTACCTTCTTCAAACAGGTTCTTAATACTTGCTCTACCTAGAGGAAAGAAAATACATTTTAACTGGTGAATACTAACCAATACTATCTATTTTACATAGATAAAGGTGTCATTACTATTAGGTGCCGCACCAAGATGCAAACCAGCGTTGAGCAAATTAAAACAGAAGGCAACATATTCAATGTCATCATACCTAAGCTGAAGTCCTCCATACAGGAAGCAAGGTTGTCCAGTACTTTTCTGTACAAATATATGTCTGCGGTTTTCAGTTCTTCCCTAAGGCAGCATACAAAGCTTTCTACAGCTAACGTCATAAACTGTTCAGGAAGATCATTCAGTGAACTGCAATGGTAAGAAACAGCACAATCAGTTAGCTCACACTGGGTATTAAATATCCACTTTACTAAAGTCAGTGTCACCTAAAACTCCAATAATAGATATTGCTTCCCGCATGAAAACATATTCTGTTTTAAAATAAACACACACATTCTAACTTTGCAGCCAGAAAACCTGTCAAAGGGGAGTAAAGCTCCGGCATGCAACCAAACACAGGACGGAAGCCCTGCATCTCTCCATGGGACAACAAAGGTTTTCAGACATAGAAATGAAGAGAGCTAGCCATTGCATCTTAAAAATGTTAAGGCTGCAATAAATTAGCCAAAGAAATACAAGAGCAATTTTGCAATTAAAATAGGCACAAGAAACCACAGTTTAGTTATGATTCCTCTGAACAGCCTTCTCTTTACATTGTCAAAGTTGAGATTTTTTTTTTAAGGGAAGTATTTTAAATTTCTACTGTAATGTTAAATTTTTAAATTCAAAGTGACAATTACATGCTATATTGTCTTTCTAGTAATTAAATAGATCAAAATAATACTTCCCTTTGAAGCCATTTATGCAATGATATATTGTATTATTTATAATTAAGATTTTTAACTGAGCAAGAAAGTAAAACAGTACATACTCGCATATTATTACCACAAATTTTCAGTAATTAAACTACAGCAATCTGTAGTGCACAACAAATTACTGACTTCTACACAAGGAGAGCATTTAAAAATAAAATTTCCTTACCTTGCTAATACTTTTTTTAAGGGATTCTTTGCACCCAGTGCTAAATATACCTCTCCCAAGACATCCAAACCAGCTTTAACCATGGGATCACATGCAGAGTTTTGATCCATCTTCTTTACCAACGGCATAATCTATAACCAGCAGAACACATGGCAACAAAAACTCTGGATATACCTTCATCATTAACAAAGGCAGAATTCCCTCTCATTCAAGTATATGGTACAAAACTGTCCTCTTTTTATGACATCCTGATGAGTTTCAAGTGTTGAATAACATTCCAAGAACACCTCTGATACCAAAAAACCACATACATTCAAAATAGGAAACTTGGTATCACTTGCCTATTCCATCATTTTCAGTAACTGTAGCCCTTGCTAAGTACCAAAACTACATTTCTACCTAATGCACCTGCAGCAGTAATAACTGCTTTTTACCTGTTTCCAGGTAAATGTTAAAACATTATAGAGTTTATTTTAGAATTGTATTTCCCATTAACAGTGCACATTACACACTGTCAGTAACCAAAAACCACACTAACAACTGTGAAGTCTTACTTGTTTAATACACTGGATCTGCTGGATGCCATTGCTCAGCTGTGCACAGTACAGAAGCAGAGATGCCAAGTTTTGCTCTTCAGACTTTGAAAACCCTACATTTGGAAGAGTCTCTTTTTAGAAGGGAATTACAATAAGCATTATAAACAAAACATAACTTATAGTAAGAAATCACCACTTAATTCTTAGGTTTTTTTTCCTGTTCCAGTGAACTTACTGGTGCCACAATCCCTTAAGTCACTTTACCAACACCATAACACCAATTTTTTTCTTTTCCTTAAAAATGAAAAAAAATACAAGTTTCACTGTGATGTAATAGTAGGCCTCATCTGCAGTACAAAGACCAGTTTCACGAAATCACAGTGTGGTTGAAGTTGGAAGGGACCTCTGGAAATCATCTGGTCCAACCTGACTGCTCAAGTAGCATTACCTGAGACAAGCTGCTCAAGACCACGGCCAGACGCCTTGTGATTATATTCAAGGATGGAGACTCCAAAACTTCCCTGGGACACCTGCGCCAGTGCTCAGTCACCCTCACGCTAAAAAAAGTGTTTCCTGATGTTCACAGAGAACCTCTTGTGCTTCCGTTTGTACCGATTGCCTTCTATCCCATCACATCAACACAGAAAAAAACCTGCCTCTGTTTTCTTTACACCCTCCCTTCAGGTATTTGTACACATTGGTACGATTCCCCTGAGCCTTCTCTTCACCAGACTGAAGAGTCCCAGCTCTCCCAGCCTTTCCTTATAGGAGAGATGCTCCAGGCCCTTCACCATCTTAGTGTCCCTCCACTGAACTCTGTGCAGCATGTCCATGTCTCTCTTGTACTGGGGAGCCTGAACTGGACATCACACCCCAGTTGTGTCCCCACCAGTGCTAACCAGAAGACAAGAAGCATCTCAGAGTAACTTTAGTATTCCAATCTTGTATTACTCATTTTGGGGTTTGTTTTTTTGAAGCAAAGATCCCTGGAAGTTTCTCTCAGGAGAAACAGGACAAAAAAAACCCACCACAAGATGAAAGAGCATTTGAACAGTATCTTTAAATCAAGTTAACTACAGAAGACACAAAAACGGAGAAGATACACTCAAGATGATCTCCAGAAATCCCTTCCAACCTCAACCATTCTGTGACTCTTTGAAATTCAGTTTTACCCCACATATTAAGACCACTACTTCAGGTAGCACTGAACCCAAGGCCTGCAAGTGGAATCACAACTAGGACTTTCTACCACCTTCACACCAATGATAAAACAAGGCAAACAGCTTTCAAACCAAAGACACAGTACTCTCTAAAGGATCCTTCTAGCTCTGTCAAGGTAAGACGTCATTGTCATTACAAAATAAGCCACAAAAAAATCCCAAACACATACAAAACCCACAAAACATAACAAGGAAAAAAAAAAAGACAGGTCAATTTCAGTAGCTACTCAGATAGACTCTTCTAACAGAAAAAGAAATTACACATCAGTTCAGGAAAAAAAATACTTACTCTTAAGTTTTTCAAGCTGGTGATGATCAAGAAAGAATGCATCTACCTGAATTTCTTTCTTCTTCTTTAAAACCATTTTTAGCTGATTAAGAGATACCTGCACAAAAAAAATTTAAAAAACAAACAGGCCACATTGTTTTAAAAGCATATGATACTGGTCCTGAAATAATATTAATTGCGTTATCTGGCCAATTTTTTTTTCAAGATAATAGCTCTCTTTATTTTATCAACTTCAACTATTTCAAGCATTTTGTCCAAAATTCACCCAGACTTCATGGCACAAAACTGGAAGACACAGAAAACAGGACTTCAGGATTTTCTGGATGAATGACAAACTGTCTCACTGGCATTTTTACTGCCCTCGTTATATAGTCTGTGGCATGCCCCTGGATCACAGTTTGAAGTATCATGCAGAAGCATGGCAATTAGACCACAAAACTTCTGTTGCTCTGTTTTACCGTTCAAAACTCAAATATTTAACTTGTATTACTGTAAAGTTAGAACTGTGTAGGAAAGCAGTTTCATTTCGTTAAGACGTTACCAACCAGTTCTGTGTTCACTATAATGGATGTGACAAATAGCAAGTTATGTTTCTTCTTTAAGGTAACAGCAATTTAAAGTGCACTACAGTCTCACTGACTTAAGAGCTCATTATCACAGAACAGCTGAGGTCGGGAGGCACCTCTGCAGCCCATCTGGTCCAACCCCAACCAATGACGGCCACCTGGAGCCACTGACCCAGGACCATGCCCCGCTGGCTTTCCCATGTTCCCAAGGATGGAGGCTCCATAGCCTCTCTGCACAACCCGTGTCAGGGCTCAGCCACCCTCACACCACATCCAGATGCTTCCTGATGTCCAGAGGGACCCTCCCCTGTGTCAGTCTGGGCCCACTGCCTCCTGCCCTGGCACTGGGCACCCCAAAAAGAGCCTGGCTCCATCTCCTCTGCACCCTCCCTCCACATACTCGTGGACACCGATAAGATCCCCTGACCCGTTATCCAGTCCCCGTTTAAAGTGATCTGAAAGCACAACTCTTGTCAATTTCTTCCACAAACAGGTGGCTCCAGCCTGTTTCGCCAGGCAACGAGCACCACACGGCGGCACGCACCAGTGTCCCAGGGCCCGCCAGGCCGGTGCCCAGGCGAGGTGACAAACCCGACCGCCCTCAC